ACACACACACACACACACACACACACACACACACACACACACACACACACACACACACACCGCATCTAAAGCTTGCTTGTTCGAAAAATTTTGAGCGTCAAAGTACCAGGGTCATTTTTTGGGAAAGATTTCTCCCCGGAATGGTCTCTCTTCACATGTTGTTTCCCCAGCAGGCGCTAACCAGGGGGGCAACCCGGGTGTCCTGGGGGAGCTGGAGCACTACGACTTGGACATGGACGAGATCCTGGACGTGCCGTTCATCAAGTCGTCCGGCCAGCAGATGTCGACGCTGCCGAGGGCGCTCGACAAACGGCTGGCGGGCGCGGGCAACGCGGGCGCAGCCACGCTGGAGAGACAACAAAGGCAACACAAGAAGGACGACGACAGCGGCAAGAACGCGCCGGCGCAGGTGGACACACACATACGCGCACGCTCGCAGGCACGCACGTAGGCGGCGGCGCACACGTGCACACGCTCCGGAGCATGGTGACGCCGCCTGCGGCCGGTCATGTGATACCGGGAGCTCAACCTCAACTGGTCCTCGGCCTCTTGCAGATGTGCGTCCCGTCCCCCTTGAAGTGGTCGGACCTGAGGAAGTCCAAGTCCCTGGATCCGGACCCGCAGCACCTTCCTCGCTCTCAGTCCTCCGGAGGCTTCCAGCATCCTCTTCATCATCCTCATCTTCATCACCATCAGGAGGCGGCGGCGCTCTCCTCTTCCTCCTCGCTGCTCAGCGGCTCCTCGTCACTCTCTTCCTTCCCCGACGGAGGTCAGAATCAAATCTGGTCGAATCGTGGATTGTCTTTGGAGTGTTTTGAACGCAATATGGGTTGAGCATGATTTTTGCCAACTGTTGTCTTATTGATGTTGAACACAAAAGTCATCGGAATTGGCTTTGTATATACGAACAAGTCATTTCTGAAGAGAAGGATGGAGAAGAAAGCTTTTATTTTTTTTTTTACATCCCGGCGTGCGAACAATCAACGTGATGATCAACGTGTGCTCAATTGACCCAGACAAGCTGCTGTCAGCCAGGGTGTATCCCGAAGCGCAGAGTCACAACCAGGACCAGAGGCCGCCGGGCCTGGAGCCTCCAGCGGGGGGCGCCGGCGTCTTGTTTCCCCTGCTGGCCAAGCAGGACACCGCCAAGCTGTGGGGCCCCGCAGGAGGAGGAGGAGCAGGAAGGGTTGGGGCGGTGGAGGTGGACGAGGAAGTCAAGAAGAAGCACAACATCATCAACATCGTCAGGGAAGGTCAAATCTCGCTTCTGGTGAGCCGCTCGCGCGTCTTCATTGACGCGGGGCACGCCGTTACCGTGCAGCCGGCGGAAATCAAAATGAAGAAGAGCTTGTGAAGTCATTCCGTCGTGCCGGCGTCACGCTGACGCGCAATCGTTTCGCCGTCAGCCTCACCTGGCCGCCGACAACCTTTCGCTGATCCGCGACGAGGCGGGCAACAACCTCCTGCATGTGTCGGCGTCTCAGGGCCACGCCGAGTGTCTCCAGCATCTCACGTCTCTGATGGGAGAGGACGGGCTGAACGAGCGCAACCAGATGCAGCTCACGCCCGCCGGCCTCGCCGTCAAGGTTCGTCCAGGGCGGCCATCTTGTGCTTTGTCATGTGCGTGGTAAGATTGTAAATATTTGCGGTTCGCTGCACATGTGTAGAACGGTCACCTGGAGTGCGTGCGTTGGATGGTGAGCGAGACGGAGGCCATCGCCGAGCTGAGTTGCACCAGGGACCACCCCAGCTTGATCCACTACGCCGCTCGCTACGGACAGGTAAGGCGCTCGCCCTCGCTCGCTTCCTGTGAACCCCCCCCCCGAGCCAATTTGGCGCCTTTCGTGTTGCTGCGCATGTGCAGGAGAAGGTGTTGCTGTGGCTGCTCCAGTTTATGCAGGAGCAGGCCATCTCTCTGGATGAGGTGGACCACAACGGCAACACGGGCGTACACGTGGCCGCGCAGTACGGACATCTCACCTGTATACAGGTACTCACGCGTACTCCAATTCCACATAACTTTTCGGGATGAGCCTTTCAATCAGATGTGGCGTACGAGGGGAGAGATCTTGAGGCCCAGACGATAAGGCGCCCCTGGTCCAAAGTATCGGTGGCTGGTATCGGGGGCCTCCATGATGAGCCAATCATTTGAATCGAGCAGGGAAACGAAGTGCAGACAAACATGCTTGGCTGCTCACTGACCTGAACTTTGAAACTTGAAACTTTTTTTGTGTGTGTGTGTGTGTGTGTGTGGTTAGACGCTCGTGGAGTACGGCTCCAACGTGACGGTGTTGAACCAGCAGGGCGAGCGACCTTCGCAGCTGGCGGAGCGTCAAGGTCACAGCCCGTGCGCTCGCTACCTGGTCGTCGTGGAAACGTGCATGTCCTTAGCGTCGCAGGTGGTCAAGCTGACCAAGCAGCTCACCGAGTCAGTGCGGAAAAAAAAAAAAAAAAAAAACACGACTGCCACACTACTCACAACTGATGAAACTCACTGACGAAATGTGTGTGTGTGTGTTTTGCAGACAAGCGGCTGAAAAGGCAACACTACAGAAACAACTACTCAAACTTGACACCAGGTATCTGGTACACACACACACACACACACACACAC